CTGRCCATCTGACGACTATATTGTATAGTTTATATGAATTAACACGGCGGGTCAGTTAGATCGCTGTTTCTTCTACGGAAGTAATACCTAATTATGATTGCCAACAGAAAAATATTCTATATATTATGCGTATATTATTATGTGATATAATATATATTTGAATATTTATATAACTTAATATATATTATATATAGGTATAAATGATATAATACTATAGTACAGGTACAGGGTGGCTAATACTATATGACGTATCCTATAACATTATACGTTATACCTAGGTATCTATTAAAATTTTGATTTTTTGAAATTCTCAAGTGAATACACTTAAGTACCATATTTACAAGTACAATTTTTCATACCATTTATGGACTATCCTGTAGTRTTACACACTTATAGTTTCCAAATGAGAACGATCTTTTTTTACATTATATATTGTTAAGTAGATTGATTTTTTTCAACGTTTTGAAAATAAGTATTATTAGATTTTAACGAACAACTTTAGAGTTATTTAACTTACAAAATTCTATATTAGAGATAATATAGGTTCGTTATAAGCTTATATAACAGGCTTGGAAGATAATATGAAAATTATATAATTAATCATCATCAGGTGACGCTGAGAAACACACTGGAAACGCTCTTAAAGTGTATTATAATATTATCAAATGTTACCCTATTTGCCGGAGGGCTTGCCATTATTTGTTTACCCGCTGAATACGTGTTTTTTGACATTTCCTATGCTCCGATCGACAACTTGTTATTTATCGACTGAAACATATCAGCATAAATCGTTTAATGTATGTATAAACCTACAAATGTATATATAAAATACTACACCTTCAGCCGTCCATCAAGGACGTCTCAGTCAAGTCTTGTGTATATGATATACGAAAACGGTGCAACATTATAGCTCGTGTTATTATTCCGCGTCTCCTATAGCTATACACTTATATGCTATCAACTTTTAGGCGGAAGCGTGAAAACATATAACGCAAGGACGTAATTACTGCAGGATGACTTAAATGGTCATATAATGTATATGTAAATACATATAATAATAATCATAGGTATCGATTTGGATTATCCTTGCATATATATTATACACCCTAGTATGATTCACGCGTGGTATGACATTATGCAACAGTTGTAGCTGGTATATTGTACACAAATTGGAGTATCTATATACTTAGCAACAAATGAAAATTTTGATTGATCGATGTAACTTTATGTCTAGGTATATTAATTTTTGATAAGTAGTTTAATATATTTCAGCCGATTATAATCTCACGTGGCCGCGAAAACAATTGGCAATATTATATTCGGTGGTATATAGTTATATTGTACACTTTTGGGAAAGTATAACGACTATACTACTTTTGTAGAAAGTTTCTAGTGTAAGAAGAAAATAATGATTTTCCGAACCATCTTCGTGCGTTGTTATACTATTATTAACTATTCTATACTTATATTATAGATACTCGTAGTCATACTATAAATTATAATAGTAGCCCTATTATGTTATTATTATTTTTAAACATTGTTTACATCGTAAACCTATTATGCAGTGAGAAGAAACCATAACGTTAACGTACTCAACACACATATGTGCAGTGAGGCGTATGTGTGTTCAAGTATATACCGTATACCGTATATACCTATTATACATAGTTAATGACCTTCCACGGCGCGYGCGCGCGCACACACACACGTATAGAGTCGGTCCACTGCACCACTGCACTGCGGTCGTTAGACAGCAGAATAGTAATCGGRTGCATTTTGCACGCGAATGCACACGAAAATCGTATTACTTTACAGTACCACCGACAACACGCTGTATAAATACAGCATTGTTAAAATGATATAGCCATATATATAGGAGGTACCTATATATACCTGAATTATATTTTAGGTAGGCTCCTATACGGCTGCACACACACACATATATATCATATATATATATATAGAGATATGATATATACACCTCGACAGGTGAGTGTCCGTGTTATATATAACACGTCCTGTACCCGACTTCGACACGATATCGCGATCAGAAAAATTATTCAAATGAGCGCAAAAATTACGGGCGGTTGCGCGCTCTCAATATATATCGATCACTTTCACTGGTCCTGCTTTCACCCGCGCGGTTAAACGTTAAACGCTAACACACACGAGTACGCGTATTATTATTACCATGTGCCATACACAACACCTCTGCTGACRACGAAAATTCATACGATAATAATAATAATATTTTTGTTACACACACACGCGTAAGGCGACATAATAATCATAACACCGCAGTGGCGTAATTTGGGCATATTTATGATTGTGRGAGAAATTACATTTTTGTGCATTTATTATCAATAACTCGCCTCCCCCTCCTGGAAAAAAGTTCATTTTATCATATTAATGAGCTACTCGCTTAATGCAGAAAGTAAATCTGTAAAAAGTTGAATAAGCCCCATAATTGAAAAAATAAGTTGATAATATGTTATGTCAGACCTAACCTTTTAAACAAATAGTTTTCATAACTTAATATTTACTATAATATGACGCCAGCTAGACACTTCTCTACAGTACACATTGTGTAATTGTTTATATGAATAATGAACATGATCTATATCTAATAATGATTAGAACTAGTAATGATTAGTGATAAAAAAGATGATAATGTTAATACATAATATTAATTCAAAAAAAAAAAATGCTGGAGCTACAAAAACATGTTCGTTATTATTACCACCGTCATCTATCGATTTTTTCCCATTAACGAATCCCATATGGTGGCAATTTGATGAGGTCCTTAATTCCATGTTTAAAGTAGTAAGATTTTTTTTTTAATTAACAATTTGCGTTACCTGTTGGTCTAGGGAATCGTTTAGGATGAGAATAGGGAAAAGGGTGTGGATATTATCTATAATAATATGTGAGACCTTAAGTAGATTTTAATATGATGAGCATGATTCAGTAAATATAAATTGTATCCCAATAAAAGCTCTGGTTAAAAATCTAATCTTAATGCGGCTCGTAGGCCATATTTCGCAGATATGCATATATTAATTATGTTAGTATAACGACTGTGTTTCTGTTATGCGTACGTTAATTGAGTCAATCAAAGATTAAAAAATTAAAGAAATTCCGAGGTTTTTGAGCAAAACCAGTTTTCGATTTTGTTTCTTTAGTGTAGCTCTAAAAAAAAAAAATAATTGTAGATGCATGAAATTTCCACAGAATAATTTTATTAATAATTTCTACACATAACATTGGGACGCAACATACAGTTAGCCCAGCGATTATTGTCTTGACTTAAAGCTAAGTCATTATATAACCACGATCCYTCATAAATATTACGTATAACGCCACCCCTGCTCTCACGCATACGCTTTTTACGCCATATTTTCATATGTAAGTTGATTCATTTGGTGCTATTAATTCTACCACAAATAACACCTTTACTGTTGTTACAAGTTTTTTTCTAAATAATAGTTATGTACATTGATTAATACAATTATGCTTTAATTGGTTTTATCGCGCAACTAATACTGAAATTTGGTAACCGGTGCATTCAACTCTTCACTAATTTATTGTAATAGATAAATATATGTTTGTAAGCATAAAATCTATGTCCATTTGCATAATCCAGCACTTAGTATATTATAATGGAAGAGTTGCGCGTACCCATATACTTATTCGACGCAATAATAAGATTAATACGTTGCGGCGTACACGGTACGAGGACGTAACGAAAACTCGAAGTCGGTGGAAAGGATGGTAAAATCCGAGGGAACTGAATAATGTTAAATATTATTACATTGTTGTTTTAGCAATGCTCAACGATCAAGCAATACAATAACGGGGGAAAAGAGAGGAGCTTTGCAAGACAAAGCRGCGGCGCGGCGTAGGAATCCTCCGGAGGACATCGCAAATATATATTATGTAGAAASTTGTTGTGTTATTTTTCGAACAGATTTCGGACACAGAATACGATATGGTATTAAATTAAATACTATATATGTATGCGTGTATACGTCTTCGCGTGGGAAAACCAAGGACCTGTTGCCGCCCCACGATGGGTTGTAACATCATACAATGTATATGATATCCGCCGTTTAGCCTTGTACATAATACGAATGTAATACCTACTATAATAATATATTCGACGTACTTTCGGACGACGACCACGACACACGGACTACGACGAATTTTGTGTAATGCATACGATTTTATAATATAAAGATAACTATATTACTATATAAATAAAACATATTGTTATTATGGACGTATAGAGGTATATATATATATATGAAAACGGTCCTATATATGTATATAGGACCGTTTTCAGGTCAACCATGCGGTGTATATGCGCTTAAAATATAAATTCTTGGACGAGCTCAGACAAGCGCGATGTCCGARGAYGACGACGAAAACGAAAAGTCAACAACGAAGGATCTCAGTCTCAAGCAACGAAAAATATGTAACGTCTAGGAAAAAAAGTAAGTCGTACACAATCGGCCGTCAAGGACGAGACGTCGGTAACTATACAACATGTATACGCAAACGCAAACGGCGTAAACGCCCTGCTTGACACCCCATATACGACTACGCGACTATTATACATCAGCGACGACATTACACATATAATAACATAATGCATTTAATCGTATCGTGTGCGCTTTACTATATTTGTTATTGTTTCTTTTCTTTTTTTTCTTGCCATAACAATCCGTAAAAAACGTGTATAGGCGGTGTACAGGCAAAGCTCTGAGGCGGCGGTCCCGCTGGGCGTAGTCCAGATTTAAAAAAAATCACGTATAACAATACGTGCATCTGTGTGTGATGTATATATGTATGAGTATGAATGCATATGCGAGTGCGTGTGAGCGTGCGCGTTGTTTCTTATTATTWTTTTTTCATTTTGGATTTCAAGTCTCACACGACTGGAATACTCAAGTGGGGCTGAGGTCGCACCGGGTAGGACGTACATATAAAACAAGAGGCAAGCACCGGCCGCTCACCAGTGACGATCATCGCGTTACCGCCCGCGAAAGTGAACTCGATTTTATAAATTCATAATACTATTACACTATACTATAATAATTGTATTTTTCCCGAGTGATTTATACATCGCCGTATTTTAATAAAACACAACATTACCATTATTAAATTTTATTAGACGTGGTCAAGATGAACATTTATCTACTCGCTTCCGTCTTGCTCATCGCAGCATATCAAGGTAACAACTGCACTGATACAAAAAATATAAATAATATAGTAAAACAAATCAATGTATACAGCTAATAATCTTAATATGCTATAACCTATCTACCTATAAATTATATGCTCCAAAATAATCTATTGCTCAGTATTTTATAATACAACTTTTATTACGTCTTAAGAAACGACATAACTATTGACGCGAATTTTAACAACAATAAAACTTCGAGAATTCGGATACAATTACCACGTTAACTGTTTTTATAAAGTATTTTCTTCAAATYTTGGAAAAAACCTCACTTAACGTCTGCTTCTATATTATGCGTATTTTAATAATATAATACTGCAAGCTATACGTCGTTTTGTGTGTATGCTGTTTTAGACATATATCTAATTTCCGTTGGTTTATGTAACACACAGTTAGTTGGTTTGTATTCCCGAAAATCCATCGATATATTTTCAAGGCGACACATACGATGTGTTACATCATGAAACCAGGACACGCAGAGATCGGTGAAGCAATATAAATATACGCGTATATGGGTATATAATACAATATAATATAATGCGTTCGAATATTAAATTATACGCCACGACAGGTAATRGTGTGACTTATATACGTCGCACGTACCGTAAATTATGTCACTTTATAGTAAAATTATACAGGTAACATTGCACCCGACATATTAATAATATAATAGTATAATACCTATATAWACGTAGTTCTTTCCTACATAATATCATTAATGTGTGTATCGCGCGTATAAGAATGGCGAAGAGTGAAAGAAAAAGAAAAAAATTTCAGTACGATTGATAACTATACCTATATAACATTATGATTATGGTCTATCGGCAGTGTGGGAAAAGTGAAATTTCGATAAGTTCCTTCCTCATATGTATCGTCATATAGAAAATTCCATTACCCACGCGAAACATATATTCCACATACGCGAACATGCATACGAACAACCCGATTGTAAAATTGTACAAAAAATAACGAATTGATTAAGTATAAATTTATGTACAAATTAAAAAGATAAATACGTGTGGTTTGAAGATTTCCATATTTTTCACGAAAGAAATATTGGTTACATTTCCCTCAATGCTAAAATAAATAAATACTTCATCTATTCAGATTTTTTTAAGCCCAATGCCAATTTTTTTTTTGCTCACACCCCTTCTCATAACTAAAAATTAATGATAGTAAAAGCTAATTACATACATGTCATGTAACTTGATAGTAAAATAAAATTCAACAATAAAAATGAATTATAAACCCAAGATGCCCATACCAAAAAAATAACGTTCAGGGCAAACATTGCACCCCATCACACCACTCACTGAGACTTTTAAATTTTATCTACGAATACCTTGCATGGTTATTTTCTACTTAGGGAGGTTAGAAATTATTATGTATYACTGCGTATTGTTATATGACAACGACGCGCCTCCAGTTGTATTCTGTATAGGCAAGGCGCATAAACACCGTTCGTTTCATAGGATCGTAAAATATGATGTAATATTGTAATGACAAACAGGTGAGCTATAATATTAAAACCAAAAATAATAAGCAAATAAATAGCTCTCGGGGTGCGGTCGGACCAGAGTAAACACGTACCAGCTATAATAGGCTTATGCGCGTGTGACAGGTGGAAAAATTACGATAATTAAAAGTGCCCATAAAAAACTCGTGCCTGCAGTGTAGACGTTCAGTGACTTGTGTGTAATGCTTGTGAGGTAACCTCCACGCTCGAYGAAGACGCGGGGTGGCAGTGAGAGGGAGAGATTTAAGACTTATAAACRSGCGTTCCTACTAAATTTTCATGAACCGGAAGACTAGATGTGTGTGTGTTCATTACATAATCACCCAGACGTTTTCGAACCCAAAGACGGAGGAGACGTAACGCCGCTGCCTAACCCTTTTCTCTCTCCCTCTCTCACTCTCTCTCTCTCTCTCTCTCTCTCTCTTTCTTTCCATTTCTATCTGCTTCCACTGACTGCAACGGCACGGCCACTCACCTCTAGCGACGACGGCCACTCCAAAATCTGACGGCGTCTAATGAATAATGGATTGCCGATATAATAATAATATTAAAACKARTGGAGACACGATCGGTGAGCTCACGGAAAACGCGCATATATTATCAATTACGCAACATCATACCACTCGAATGCCATATACATATTATGGTATATAAAAATATAGGTACCTATATAGAAATAATACTAATAACAAATAATTATATATCAACTCGTATACCGAGATAAAGAGTTTTGTCAACTTTTAGGCACGCCCAAGGACGGCGATAACCTATATTATATTTTATAATATGTGTCTTATGTCTGTGTGTATATTGTGTTATGCAGACAAATAAATATATATTATACGACATAACACAGTGGCCGAGTGATATAATAATATAATTCTATTTTCTCTGCAGAAGAATGTCGCATGTAACTAGATTATGCAGCGCGCGCATGCGTTTGATATTATCATTATTAATATTATTATTATTAAATACTCGCACCCATTGCCTATAGGACCATAAAAACAAGTTCGCTTTCTATAATAATTGTCGAGGCGATGCCGCCGTATTTGCTTGGGCTTGGCCCGGTTTTCGTCTTCCTGTAACACCGTACGTCCACGGTCATGTCATTATGATATAACAATAATATATAATTTCATAAGATATATTATTATAATACCTAATATTATTATTGAGTAGTCACAAATTGGTAATACATTCACGTTCTAGACTCATTCATTAACCAATAAACTACTGAGCAATAGACTTCAATGTATGGGGCCTATGGGGAACAAGGGTCTTGACGGTCTTATGCTTACGTATGTGGTATGCAGTTTATATACCTTTACGCAATGTCCGACGATGGTGATTGATATAATAGGAGATCCATAAACGCGCGTGATTGCAACACCCGCGCGCGAGACACATCACAATATTTTATTGAATAAATTATTAATCATAATATAATATACAAAGAGTGAGAGAGAGAGAGAGAGTGTATCTGTCATTTTTATTATTAATAAATATTGTCCTTCTTCGGTTTCCTGCGTAACACGAGTGACCTATACTTAAAAGACTATATAATAACATATTACATATACACTAAAATAACGAGCTTGGAGTGTGGAAATAAAAACAAATTCGCCTATATAACTAAAACCGGCTGCGATCTTCATCTGATTCGCCGGCGGGACATAGCGTGCGTGACCCACACGAGTGATCAACGACATCGACAATCGTACCTATATAGTCAAAACCGGATACAACTACGTATATTATGTATTATTACATAGCGTACACGTATTAATATATTATTATTACCTATATACGACGTGTGTCATAATAATTATCATCATCATTTTTGACCCAGAAACCTGGGGCAAGTTCCATTCCAGGTGTTTCGCAATCGCCAATGGTTACAGAAWATCCACCGCTACAATGCGGACACCATAAAAAAAAGTACCAATATAAAATACGTATTTATTGTACTTATGTAGGTTTATACATCCGTCGCAATATAATATACGGACGCATTACTCGTGCAAACTCGTAGGCGGCCGGCCGGGTAGGGTAGGACGACAATTGTTTTCGTACACCATTGTACGTACACGCCAACGGACGCGTTCAAATAAAAAATAATATAACGACAAGAGATAGATATGGAGAGAAGCGAGATGAAATAAAAAGCTGCAGAATCATACGGTAAAGGTCATTGCGCGATACAATTCCATGGGTCCGGAGGCAACTACAATTGTATAGGTAGGTATAAGCGTTTTCTGTGTACATCGCGATACGCTGCAGTGATCCGGACCCGTCGTATGTGATACTATTATTAAATACAATGCGCGTATTCTAATAACTCGTATGAGAAGGCCTGTGCACTTGTATGAGAGCTAAAAAATATTATAATTACATAACCTCGTCGTCGCGGCGGCAGCTACCATGGTTTGAATACCTTCGTCGCTACTGCCGTCTTCGCGACGCGTTGCATAAGACGACCGGACACAATGGGGCGCGCCCCAAGGTCCTGGGAAACAACTATATTATAATAGTAATAGTACCTACCTATAACAAGCGTCGCGGTATGTTTATTAAAATTATAATTGTCGTCGTCGCGCCTATATAATATATATATATATCTATAAAGTATTATATACGTGATAAATAATTATAATGTGCTTTTCGTAATTATATGCGCAGTTCACGGCCAGAGAGAAGAGTTCAAGTGCCCAGACGACTACGGGTTCTACCCGCACAGCATATCTTGCGACAAGTACTGGAAGTGCGACAACAATGTGGCTGAGCTAAAGACTTGCGGTAACGGTCTAGCATTCGACGACACCGACCCCAAGTACCTGAAAGAGAACTGTGATTACTTGCACAACGTTGACTGCGGCGCAAGAACACAATTGGGTAAGAATCGGTTGACAATTTTATAACAATTGTAAAGCGTTGACTTCCACAATGTTTTCTGCGACGATCCGTCACGTGTAAAACCTATTTTATTATCTTCTTTCTTTCATTTGCATCAGACTTCAGACATAACTATATATAATACTCTCAAATAGTTTTCTTGGCGATAACTAMCTGTTTCTATAATATTTTGAACTTCTACTCTACAATTTTTGATTCCTAAATTTATTAAGTATTCTTACATTACTTCAATTCATATTTTCTTTGCTCAGCCTTGAGATCTTCTTCCTTGAGGTTTCTATATTCTATTTCCGTAGCCTTACTGTTTTATAAATTCTTTTCTGCYCCACTTCTCGTTATGAGACCTAACCATTATATATCCTTTGCTTCTCAAATGAATCCAGTCACAAGTACAACAATAGTTATAGATTATAATATTTATAGTACCTCGTTTTGTGACAATAACTTACATAATTTACCCGCTTCAGAACCTGCSGTTGGTGGACCCCACTGCCCAAGATTATACGGAATCTTCCCCGACGATGTTAAGTGCGACACCTTCTGGAACTGTTGGGCGGGTGAGGCTAGCAGATACCAATGTTCTCCAGGTCTGGCTTACGACCGCGAATCCAGGGTGTGCATGTGGGCCGACCAAGTRCCAGAATGCAAAGTCGATGGTTAGTATATTATATTATATATAGTGTGTATAGCGTGTATATGATATAGTATTTTAGTCAAGCATGTACACATAAATTGTACGCAATAACGATATACGAATTCAGCAATCGAGCGGATATCGATTTAAATAACGGCGTTTTTTTTTTTTGGTCCACCGTAGAAGTAGCAAATGGTTTCAGCTGCCCGGCTGCCGGTGAATTATTGGCATCCGTYGGATCTTTCAGCAGACACGCTCACCCAGACGACTGCAGGAAGTACTACATTTGTATGGAAGGCTCGGCCAGAGAATACGGTTGCCCAATTGGCACAGTTTTCAAAATCGGCGATACCGACGGAAGCGGAAGYTGTGAGAACCCCGAAGACGTTCCCGGATGGTATGCAAACATGACATATTTATTATAGTTTTATCCATTAAGTATTTCGACGCGTGTACTCACTACTCACTCTCTACAATGTTATAGACGTGAAATAATATGAATGAATGTAACACTATATATAATTAGTAATTACCCTTATGRGTTATGACGCTGCATACATGCATAGTAGGTATATATAGCACAATGATTTAAATTCGAACACAATGTTCATATTTCCGTAGTAGGTTATGATAATTTTACAATTTTGCTCGTTTTGATACTTTTCATTTCTAAAATATTTTACCTATAAATCTGTATTTTCAGTTTTACAATCGTTTSGTGTAATAATACGCATACGTATATTTAGGATACATATTCTGCATTCTACAGCTCAGATATATTCTAAATACTTAACATCCATAGCAAACCGTTTGCGACTAAAACAAAATGGCTTATTCTATTCATGCACCTTCTTACGGAGTATATAACGTAACAATTTAAATTTTCCACACGTAAACGTTGTTGTAAATCGTAATAATATTATAACATCATCTGATGAATAAATAATTTTTTGGTTATGCGATGGTGARTTTACATTATTATAATCACCAAAAAGTCGTCAACGTTATGATGCTCTGRCATAAATCGTACGCCTTTTCTTAAAAGAGYTTGTGAGTACGCGTGAAAAATTACTTTTAACATACTATATATCTACGATTAATATCTCGGCGTGCATGATATGGTTGCATGCGGTCTTCAAACCGTCATCGTCGCGAGGGTTAAGCGTGATAAAAACCGTAGACGCACAAGTGCATGGGCCACGCGACGGACGAGGATACTTCTCGGACGGTTTCTTCTGTATAATACATAATTTACGGATTGATATAAGCCGTTATTTTTCTCTTTTAAACCGTTTAAGTCTCCGAAAGTGCACGCGCTCAAACTTTCTTTGTATACCTATACACCGCGTATACGCACAAATTATAGTATATCATTATTATTATTATTATGCACATTAAGTCGGTACAGAAAATTCCGGCACGGAACGCTACTCAAAGGTGCCACGTGAGCGTTTATTATATAATATTATTCCATCGTTAAATACTTTAATGCATATTTTTTCTTCCTTTTTACCTTTTGCGAAAGTGCTTTTACGAAAACAAACATTATACGACAATTTGCAATTATAATGTGCAGATACAAACGTGTGGTAGGTACAAAATTATAAACCACCGCAGCAGAGAGAGGCATGCTTATTAAAGCGATAGTCGAGTGTGAAAACGTTTTTTTATTGCGGTATACATAAATTGTTATACATAGATAATTTCACGAGCCAATTGGCAGTTCTAGACGCGCCGTCAAGAACGAAATATCACCACCGTAATCTCCGCGCCACRATATTTATTAGATACATACTTGTATGTATAACTACGTAATTTCAATAATGATAATACATAATATAATATAATAAATATAAACACAACACATTTAGCGTAACTATATAATGACCGGGTGCGTGCGTGCATAACGATATAGGTATTATATTACGTGTGTGTGGGTAGCGCGTGTGCATAATCTGCGTGGTATGCGTCTACGACGTACATTTAACATTATATATATATACATACATAGGTGCATAGACGTGTCTATATACAAATACAATTATAATATTATATCGTCCGAAATCGTAAAAAATGTAAATGTGTATCGCGTTTGAACCACACAAAAAGTGAAAGCGATACTATGCTTCTAAATATTATATTATACGGACCACTGTATACACTATACATATATAAGTATMTAACACTAAATACAATGATCTGCAACAGCCAACAGTATACAAATATTTGTTGTCCCGCCGGCTTTGGCGTACCTACCTGTTTTTAACCCGCGGCGATCGAGGAAAAAGTTCCTGGTCTTGCATACATCATACATATAATATGTAATAACAATAATTTAACAATTTTACGACTGCATGTTTTAAAAATTAAAAAAACTATACGATAATTGATCGCGATGCCAATGAAAAAAAAATGACGTCATACCGAGGAGTGGGAAAATTGTCTGTTCTATAGGTTTTTACTTTGTATATCTATCACCTTACAGCTGAGGAAAAAAATTAAATTTAAATACCTGCAGCTCGAATTCCTCCGGACGACGCGTATATTATGTTTCATGCACCRTCTCTCAGCCATCTTTCCGCGGTGCAGATTTGCAGCTCAGGGTTAAATTTTTTATGTGGCTATGATGCACTCACGAAATTCAATTCATATTTGGCCTGAGTTCAACTGCAGTCGTGTGGTCATCAGTCGTGTGAGCAATTTTTATTTTATATGACCTAACGAATATTAGCATAATCATAAATACGCACAATTACATAATATACAGTAAGTTCCGAAACGATGTCGCATATTAAATCCGCGACCGTCCTTAACGACTCGGCGGCGATGCTTGAGACCAAGACCTGTTAAATCAATAATAATTAATAATTATTGTTGTTACAATTGACATTTTGAAATTTATTTTTTCAACGTTCACAACGAACAACCCGACAACCGCCCCGCTACCTTGAAATCATACTTGCACTCAATGACACCGTGTACCTATGTATATATGTATACTGTATATATAATTACCACAGATTTAATGTTTTTCTTGATATCGTGCGGAATTGTTTGACTCTGTCGCATCCTTCAGGATTTTTTKAYTATCCGCAAAACATGCACATATAAAATGCATTATGTACTATAATATTATACATTCAAATGTTTAAGTGTACCTACCTATATAATATAAGTACATATACGATATACCTACGTTGACATTTGTATAGGTAGTGATACTTCATACATTTAGTAATATACATTAGCATAATATTAGTATAAAATATATAATAACGACTCGGCAACAACCGTGAACGGGGTTAAAAAAATTCAAAACAAACCTACCTATGTGTGTGTGCAGTGAGGACTACTACGGCGACCTGGACCTRAAGGCGATCAGGAAGAGCGAACTGTTGGCCGGACTAGAGAACAAACCTAAACAATCATCGTCAGCTGAGTCCAAGTCAGCACCAGCCGCACCCAAGCCACAACCCCAGAGACAGCAACAGCAATCCAACAGGCCGCAACCCCMGCAGCAGTCCAACAGGCCACAACCACAACAACTCCCCGTCTCCTCGCAGTCATCCAAAGACTACGAAGACGCTTAGACTAAAAGATAACGACAGCGGCGTAACTCGCCCGCGGTGACGGACACACCACACACACACACACACACACACTTAAACACAAATACGCAAACACAAGGACTTTTTGAAAGTTTTTACTTAAGGTTTTTGAATTGTGTGAGTACCGAATTTTCTTTCCCTCCCTCAACCCCTCTACTGTATACTACCCATGTCCAACGCATATAAATATAAAACGATTTATATATATGTAAAGAGGATTTATATACAGGTGCTCACACAATTTAATACGTTTTTTTAATTATTATTATACTTATTATTATTGTGTTTCCTTTTTTATACGCTTTTTTTTTTTTTAATCGACGTCGTATTTTAATTCGATCGATATTCCAGTCTGATAAACTTGATAATTTATCGCTGTTCCCATGATTATTTTCTAAACAGTTCCGATAAAGTACTGGCGCATTRATACGACGACGGCATCAGCTGCAGCCACAAATTACTGCTTTTACTGCTATGTCTAGTCCATGACTATTGCACACACGTTTTTGTTAATATAATTATCTTATTTAAGCGCGAAAATCAAAATAAATAAACCCCATTAAACTATCCGAATATCTCACAACACAATCAATAAAATATGTGTACTTATATATACACTTCGTACATGTATTAATATTAAAATCCCAACMGTTATAATTTAGGTAGGTGAATTGTCCCGTTCACGATACATTGCATTTTTTAAATATATATGTATAAAATAATTAAATCAATTTATATAATATACTATATGAAAAATATTTTGTACAAATTACGCTCTTTAATTTTACAATGTGTACTTGTCTTTATAATAATTATGTTTTTTATTATTGTAAGTTTATTAATAATTATATACCTAAATTAAAAACATAGTTATTATATTAAATATATTAATATATATATTTGAATACATACATTTTTACATTKTTCATCATTCATCGCTACCCTTGCCATGATAATTATTCCGTCGCAATAAAATTAAATTCGTCCCAAAGTTTTCTATACCTACGTTTATAAAATGTTACGACGCTTCAAATGCCGAAGGAAAATATTATTATTGTTTTTCATAAACAGCAAGGGAAACATGTASTAAAACATACTGTACAAAACACAAAATATGTACATAATATTATAACAGTATATAAATACATAGGTATTAAGGTATTACATTTCTATTATAACAATATAAATTGTATATACCAACATGTTTTAAGGTTACACGTTTCTTGCATGCGGCTAACAAGAGCGCTTTTCATATCTATCTATAATGCAAGTAGCCGGCTATGGGTATTTGTAGCTTTCAATATGCGTCTATGCAAATTTTTATTTTAAAACTTAAAACTTTTCAGTTTTTAAAATGTCCATCATCTTAATGTTGAGGTTATAAAGCTTTTGATTGTACGAGCATACTAATGAATATTGATATTACCTATGCCCTATTATATTGTACATAAATTCACTTAGTCTTCTCGATATTCATACTTACTTAGATACTTCTCTGGAATTTTAGATTGTGTTGAATTATAAACAGTGGTGTTTGAGGAGTAAACTAGCTACGAGTGTTCGACGTGTACCCATTTAACATTATATGTTAAATATTGGCCCAAATTTTGATGAATTAGCGTATCCCTATACATTGCAAAAATGATGCAAACATGAAAATATACCTTAGTATCTAGTGTTAATAATTAAGTAATCTGTATTCTGTATTAGGTATTATTTTTTATATTATGTCAATCGAATATATAATATTACATTCATCAACTGTCTAGTGTCTATAAGTAAGAATCACAGAATAAGTCAAAATTTAGAATTGTGTAACAAATTATTAAATTGTATCATTACCAGTTACCAAGTATAACATATGTTGGTGTGGTTAATCATAGTTTGTGACCGCGGTTATTGCAATTTTTTCAATAAAATGTTCGAGTTACCTCCACGATGAGAAATAAGGATTTTGCGTTTTTTCAAGATAAATATTAAGTTAAATGTTATATTTGAACTATGAAATAATTTAAATACATAGGTATATATAWATTTACAGCTTTTTAAGGGTCGGGKCAGATCAGTTTTGGGCTTATAAAATCACAATATTAATTKAATAATATTTACCTACAACGTTATCTTATATTAAATTTATCAATGGGCGTATGGTACATAGGTACCGTTTTATACCAACCCTATGGTTACACCATTGATTATAATAAACATATAGGTATTGTAACACCAATATGAACTGTGAGTTTTGCAATTGAGCAAGTCAAATTTACTATAAAAGCACCTATACCTAATAGTACCATTTACATTACAACTAATATCTTTGACTCGTGTTGCAYATTCCTAACCTAACCTGATCTGTCCGAATTCGTTTGATCTTGAAGAGACGCATTAAAACGATGTGTTGAATATTGCAATATGCCCAGTGTAACTTGAACCGCTGCTGGGAGTAAACAACACTCGAGATAGGCATAAGTACTGTACCTACCTAATACGGTGAAACTTACATATACATACGAACAACATTTAACGAAACGTTTTGTTTAACAAATTATCTCGGAGAACCATAACCTTCATTGTTAACCCGTGCATAAATTCTATTTAAGGAATTTCGCTATGCCGCGAATCTTTTTTGTTCCCCAGTCGACTTTTGTTATAATATTATGATGAACAAGAAGTTTCACTGTATATAACTATTGTACAAAACAAATAATTGTGGTCAATAGTTCAGTACCTATTGATTTCAACGGCGATGTCGTTTAGTAATAATGTGTTATATGTGTGGTGATTAAACACGATAAAAAAAAAAAAAAAACAATTTTAAACGACAGAAATATAACAATATAATTGAACAGGTATATGAAACACCGGATACTTACAAAATTAGATTAACACAGGTACTCAAAAACAATTTCACGTACAAACCATAGCTATAACCACCATAGCTATTACGTGGCGTGCTAAAAAAGGAAATAATGCATTGTTGTTATTATTAATTACTTATTGCAATTTGTAACGTATACCCTGACAATAGATACCAACTATTTTTGGGTTCGGTAATAGCGTGGGTTTATCCACACCTTTGCCGCGGTTTATAGTCTTAAGAACTACTGTACGATGATAAACCAACGGACATAGATACGACCAGCCATCAGAACGAAAGTTTTCCGAACAGCTTTGCTCGGACGGTACTATAATATGCAATATTACGAAAAAAAAAACCAATACATAAAAAGAAAGTCGTCTATCACAGCAYGTTTGCAATAAATTTAATCAAGTTTAAATAATTGTGTGGTGTTACTTACGGACGGTTTCTTTAGTTTTTTGGTCACGTAGTAGATACAAATCTAACAACTGTATAATACAAATCCTAAAAGAATACACACGCATGATGTCGCAGTTAACACAAACCTAACATAAAATAAAAAGAATAAGAAGTATGAAATATTAACACATTAATAATTTTTACACGAATTGTTTTAATACGATCGTGTTTAACGTTGAACGTAAATTAAAGATCACATATTAATAAAACAAAACATTTTTAACAGTTAATATTTCTTTTACGTTTATAGTGAAGACTACTACGGAGATGTTGACCTAAAAGCACTGCGAAAAATTGGATACAGACGTTGATTGTGAGGTGCACAATTCCTCAACCTGAACCAAAGATATTTCATCAACGGAAGCCAAATAAAAACGGACATTGATTAGGATACCAAACATGCCGTTGTCAAAATACATATTATACATATATACATACATTAGCTTGCCAAAAAAATAAATGCTTTTTTTATATATTGTATTTTATTGTTTTGATCAAATAACATAATTTCTTAACTTTATACAAAATATCATTCTGAAACAATAATATTTATATATCATGACTAGAATGTAATATATATAAATATATATATATATATATATATATATTTAGGTTATATATTGCTTATATTATAAAATGTTTAAGTTTGCATAGAAATAATTTAAGCCAAAATATTTAACTAAAACTTGGTACATAATGAAGCAAAAGAAAATGTTTTAAAAATCACAGTAAAATACATTATATGCGGGTAATATAATAACCTGAGACATTTCGGCTGTGACACCGTGACTAGTCACATAAAAAAAAAAACAAACAAATTGAGCAAACAATTTAAAACAGAACACAAACAATATTAAAACACAAATGTAAGTAGCAAAAATAAAGAAATAAATAAATATGGCTGTCAACGTTTTTGATTTTACTACACTAAACAAACTTTGATCAACAAATCAAAGTGTTTTACATAGTTCTTAATTAATAAATTATGTTTTAATATAATATATATATACTCACTTTCTTAATAATAAGAATTTAGCGAGTAGATTCACCAGTTAATAGACAAATAATAAGGAACTGGTTACCAGTTAAATTTCATGTTCATGTTTGTTAAACATTCTCATAAAATATTAATATTATACTATAATTGAATCTGAATTGCTAATTGCAATCGCACAACTGTTCAACACATATAACAATAATGAAATGTGCATCAAGTAAAAAAAAWTAACAGAAAAAATTAAAAAGTAACTTTCAGCGACTGGAATAGTAACTAGATCTGTCATACAATTAATTAGGTATAATATGTTTAACATTATTTTGCATAATTTAATATTATAATATTATGTATAAGTTGTCTTTTTAAATTGCTAAATTAAATAAATATATCAAAAATGATTTAATAATTTATGTTATAACGTTCTAATTAAGCTGTTTAATTCACTCACTGTTTTTGGGAACAGATTCTTTACGTCTCTGTCCACACAGTAGTTGTCATATATCATTAAATTGGCAAACGACACGTCTACGTGGTTGAGGCGTGTATCTTCGATCTTTTTCTTCCAATTTTGGTTGACCAAATAATCGTTGTTGGTAAAATGTATGAAGAGGTGACGATCCACTTTCAGATAGGCGACGTGGCGGAGGAGTTGGTGGAACAGGAGATACATATCGTCTAGATAATGCTGGAGAACCTTCAAAAGTTTTACGTACTGGTGCTGGAGAGGCAGGACACACTTCACGTCTTGTTACTAATGGCGACGAAATTGCTGGTGTGTTTTGGTTTCGTGGAGGAGGACTAGGAGGAGTTTTGCTCCATGGAGCAAATTTGAGGTAGGTAGATATCAGACTCTTCCTTGGACTAGGTTTGGGTGAATCTGAGGGATTAATTTCTTTAGGAGAATTTCGTTCAAAACGACTTGGAGATACAGAAGATGACCTAGAAAAAAATTGAAGTCATTTATATCATAAAAACATAAAATTAAGATAATTTAAATTTAATAAAACCAATTTTACTATTCTCACCTAGAATGATGTTGGTTTTGTTGATGATAAAACCGTTGCAGTACTAATGGACTAGTATTGGCAGAAACATTGCCACCATTTGTCAATTGTCCCGTCAATTGTTTATACGGTGACAACAACACTGAAGGAGGCACATCCATACTTGGGAAACGTTTCACAGGTTTTGGAGAGTCAATTACCAAATTTCTAAACAAATTAATAACAAATAATTTAATTTATTTATATTGATTTAACTGTAATTGTTGAACTATAATAGCTTTAAACTAATAGTTCTTAATAAAAAAAAAAATTATTTAACTAACCCATTGATTTTGTTTTTATCAATTAAACTTAATGAAGAAAATTGATGATCTGACATCTTACGGACACTAATAGGAACGTTTTCTACAGCCGGTTTTTCTATTCTGTAAATTACATTAAATGTTAATAACGTTAATTTTYAAATTATTTATTGAAATACATATCAGCCACTCTACAAAAACATAACAAAAATTAAGTCTATAAACCCTAAATAAAGTTTAAATTACTTGAGTAATATATTTTGACTTGTGGCTTCAGCATACCATTCAGCAACATTTACTGTTTTTAACATATATTTTTGTAAAAATGGGTGTTCTAATAATTGTTTGTATTTTGGTCGTACTTTGTAATCTTTAATCAAACTAAAGAATAATACATTTAAATTATAAAAAATAGCAAATTAAATTAATCAATGTTTTTCAAATGCATACCAGCTAGATACAAAATTCCTAAATTCTAACGTAAACTCTTGATCTTGTGGAAGTGAAGGAGGGTCATCATTTAAAACTCGACTCAACACTTCAAAATCACATTTACAATCACGGTATGGAAACACGCCTGTTGCCAATTCAACTAATGTAATGCCCAAACTCCAAATATCTGATCGTATATCATAATCTAGTTGTCTAGGTTCAATTCGTTCAGGCTGAAAACCCAACATTTAATTAATATAATTAAATTAATTATTACTCGATTTTATATATTAACTTATAAATACATACGGCCATGTAAGCAGCACATCCAGCATTTTTAGTACGAGCTTTAGAATCAACTAATCTACCCGAAATACCAAAGTCGCATAGTTTTACATTTCCTCTTTCGTCCAGCAAAATATTTGATGGTTTAACATCTCGATGTATAACATCATGAGACTCTTTTAAATAGCTTAATGCTTTTACAGTCTAAAACACAAAATTTTTAATTATATCAATTATTTAATTTTACGGATTTTTTATACTAACATGTAATGCAACTTTCCCAAGTACATCTTCTGGGATTGGTGCCTTAAGTCTTCTCAAAAGACGATCAAAACAGGTAGCCATCAGTTCCATACATATACACACATCAGATTCAGTGATAAATGCACCCAAACATTTAACAATATAAGGACAGTCATGAGATTTGAGTACAACTTCAAGATCAGTCGTAATACGTTTATTTTCTTCACTATTTCCAGACCTTCTCATTTGCTAAATAATATGAGAAAAAAATAAAATATAATTAGTCATAGAATTAAATAATCCAGAAAAGTTTCACTCACTTTGACAGCTATTTCAGTATTACTAGGTTTGTGCAACATTCTGACAACATGACCACATGTACCACTTCCTAATTCTCCGAGATGCTCTAAATCTTTTAACTCAGTTTTATATTTCTAAACAATAAAAATAAATTGATTTAAACAATAATAACACTTTTAAGCATTAAATACTATACTAACAATTCCATTAATTGTAAGTAAACCACTMATTTTCATGATCTGTTTCATCTTGACTTCAACTTCAGAAGTGTCCTCAACCCTCGGTTGCATCAATACGCTTACCGGTAGGTCGATATGTTTACGAGTCCTAGTCGGCGTACCCATGTCACCAACTAAAATTAACGGAGGAAAAATATAATATAGCCATCAAGGTCATGATGATGTCCTTTTTAGTATATATGTTACACAATTTCTACAGGAGAAAAAACCGAACTGGGCGTTGCATACTCACGTTGTTTGGGCCTTCTCCCTGATCCCTGTCGAGGACTTRAGAGTGATGGAGGTGGCATCTCCTCAATGGTATCGCCGTCCGCCTTCAATCGGGCCTGTAGATTCAAAATTTTGTTCTCCAGAAACGAAGTGGTCATTTTCGATGAATCTTGTAGAAAACGTTAAACGTGTTTTCATCAATTAAACTTAAATCGCTGACGATGCACAACACGTCCYTAAACTCATGGTACAAGTACAACTAACACATACTTAAAGAATAAATACTATTTTTAAACACAATTTTCGGGAAAATTTATCAATTATTAAATTTGATGTTATTTTTATTGGCAGCGAAATCGTCCGTCAATGGTATTCACTATTCTTATCACGAACCCTTGACAGGTATGTACAGTAGGGCCAGTGCTTAAAGAACCAAAAAAATCAATATGATTTCAGCATAGCCAACCTACTCCAGGCGCCTTATCACCGCCACCTTACAATGATAATACACGTACACGAATGATAACAAGAGATGAAAATACAAAGACGATTTTATATAAATGTGGCTGTTGTGTGCTTGATCAAGACGATTTTGTCTACGTTCTTTTAACACCGCTCGACTACCGACTACTGTCATTAGAAACTCACTGACGTTTTTCAATAAATGGGTAAATTATATTTGTTATTTTTTTTAATATTTAACAAAAATCGATTTAAAATTGCATTTAATCTGATTTAAAATTTACGCCTTAATTGTTTACCTAAACATCCAAATAGTAACAAACTAACAAATTTTTATGTTTTTAACTTTTCAGGTATATTGTTTTTAAAACACACACAATGGGCTTAACATTATCAACAGTTTTCACCCGTTTGTTCGGTAAAAAACAAATGCGCATACTGATGGTTGGCTTGGATGCAGCTGGTAAAACTACCATACTTTACAAGCTAAAATTGGGCGAAATCATCACAACCATACCGACAATAGGATTCAATGTTGAGACAGTCGAATATAAAAATATTGCATTTACAGTTTGGGATGTGGGTGGTCAAGATAAAATCCGTCCTTTATGGCGGCACTACTTCCAAAACACCCAGGGACTGATATTTGTCRTAGATTCTAATGATCGAGAAAGAGTAGCAGAAGCAGAACGAGAGCTACATAACATGTTGCAAGAAGACGATCTCAGAGACGCYGTATTGTTAGTATTTGCGAACAAACAAGATCTTCCCAATGCTATGAATGTATCGGATCTCACTAACAAACTTGGACTGAATCAACTTCACCAGAGAAAGTGGTACATTCAGTCTACTTGTGCAACTCAAGGCAATGGTTTATATGAAGGATTGGACTGGCTGTCAAATGAACTAGCCAAATAAAATATTGCACATTGTATTAACTGAAACATCCTTTAATCATTGTTTAAGATTAATTCATTAATAGGTTTGATCTTAAGAATTTAAAATATTTTATTATTTATTTATTTCCTTGTTTCTAAGGACATTATTTTAATATTGGGATAATATAGTGCAGCATTTAATAAATAAGTATAAATCATATGAACGGTGTAAAATATTAACATAATTCTAAAAAAAAATTAAAAAATGTGAAATTGTTTTATCATTTTATTGATGTTTCTTGTTATGTAATGATTAATTTAATATTACTTTTTTACATTCAATATCACATGCATGAATTCTCTCTTGTTGTTACAAACAATATATTTTAGTAGATATGATATTAATTATTGGATCCAATCCATACAGAATAATTTTATCCACCAATTAATAAACCATTGAATTGTCTGTTTGAAAATTTGGTTATTGGTTATACTTATACACGCAAATTTATTATTTTATGATTTATCGCAATAATAAACTGCCAACATTTGTACAAAACTAAGCATATTATTATTATTTTTTTTTTTTTTCATCAGTAATTTTACACATTTTCTCATCAACACTACAGAAGATCAAATAGCCAATACCTAAGATTGAAAACGAGGTAGCAAACGACTAGACAATGATTTCTCGTACAAGGATATACCTAAACATATTATTCATGTGTTATAATTAAAGCTTTTCATAGTTATATTGGGTCTGTTATATATTTCCATACGACTATCACCATGCACCCGAATAGATAACATCCGTCACAAATACKTATAATTATAATAATTGTCTACGAAATACGAATATAATACAATGTGTACACAAAATTTAAGAAATATTAATGAAACAATTTTACATAATATTGTATTATTGTATGAATTCAGAATTTGTCAAATCATCCAGGGTGGTGGTCATTCCTTAACCGTTCAGAGTTACGAATTCGTCGGAAATCACGATTCGAATTAATTCGCACGTACCGGAAGGTGCGTCGCTGAAATCGGTTTACAATACATAACCGTGCGCCGTCAATCTCGAATATTTATTCTTTCTGTCGACGTTTTATTAGCTTCAAAGTCTATCGTAATAACGTTCTTCGTCTCTCTCGGTAAATAATTCATCGGTGCGTCATATAACAGGCGCATTTTTTACTAATATGGTCTCGAGGTGTGTCCCGGTCGTCCTCATTATTGGCTATTACGCCCTTAATAATAATAACATAATATTATTGTCRTTACAACATACCTACTCACGTTTGGTTACAGCAGTGACCGTCTAGTTTTATTTTTTCTTCGGACGCAATTGATTTTCAAATCACATATCTTTTGACGGCAATTATACCGAACGGCGAACGCTATATTTTTCGATATTAACGCCAACGTTTCATAATACATTTTTAGATTAAAATAGGTACATAATATACGTTGACGGTATAATTTAATTGAGTCGTACTGGCCGTACTGCATACAGATTTACACCGACTACCGAGGTACACTAAAATGCATTACCAAGACTGCAGCCTAGACATTTCTCTTAGAATAGATGATTGGTAAATCTATTGCAAGCAAATAACATTAGTGATTTAGACCAAACTTCAAAAATGGAAAGGAAAATCGAATAAAATGTTGCAAAAAAAATTGTGTTCATCGTATGGTCTATATACGTTCATTGGTTTTATTTTAAACATTTATAATTATTAGTGTCAGGGGTGTAATTAAGGGGGATGAGTGCCGAGTGGGATTGATCCCCCCAAAGCTTTTATTTTATCGCTAACATTTTATATTTAAAGGTGTAGGTTACTGTATATGAGGCTTACAAGTTTTGCTAAAAACTTATAACCCCCCAAAAAAAACTAAATTCCTAATTACGCCACTGATTAATGATAATTACACACATATTAACATGCTGAACATATATTAAGTTATTTCCGTCTCCCGAGCATAATACTATACAGCAAATTTACGTTCAGCTTTCGGAATTTACAGCTTAGAGTTGACTTTTAAATTAGATTGAATTGAACARTTACATATCAAAATTGCATGTTACAATTAGCAAGAACAATAAGGAATTTTCAGTATATTAATTATTAGACAAGATATGATGAAAGTTTATCTATCTATATAGTTACGTTTTAAAAATGCTCACACATCTCGGTTGAAAATGTAAATATTAAAAAAAAACTAACAGATACAACATAAGAAGATGTGCCGTCCTTAAATTTCAAAAGGAATTAAAATTATCTAACCACGCCCAGAGGAGAGAAATCCATAGAAAATACTAAACAATATCATTGATAAATTATTATTTATTATTTATTTATTTTCTCGATTTTTATGAAAGCAAAAAACGATCGGCAGGTTAAACTAATTTAATTAAATAATAGGGCATTATTTATATTATTGTATATACTATTATTCTAAATAACTGTTATGGTATTCAAAATGATATTATTTTTAAAATAACAATCAAACGGGGTTGTAGATAGGCTACTAAAAATACGAATTATTTCCACCGTGGGAAGTCGATTTTACGGTAAGCATATCAATTATTAAAACTGAGGGATAAAATGAGTAAATTAGCTGCTGACCCGTCACAAAGAACTATATTATATTAAATAGTGATGTCATTGATATTYTGATTCGTGGCGAGAAAGCGCCGAAAATCGATGTGCCTTTAAATGTTAAAAAACACCCAAATCAGTTTACTGAACAGTACAAATACTACTCACAATTCACTTGAAAATTAAAATATCATAAAAAACCCGATCGGAAGAACGCAGATAATGTTCTTACCTAAAAGTTTCATCACAGGTCAACTTGCTCTAATATCAAAACTACCGGCATACTATAAGAACTAGCGAGTGCCGAATAAAATTTTACCGTGTCGTACGTGTGTAAGACGGAAAAAACAGAATTTGTGGGCACCATATCTTTTTAATATCTAACCTGCAGTATCCAGTTTTCTTTAAATGTATTTTAATTTACAAAATAACATCTCCACAGATGTATTGTCTGCGTCTTAATTTTTGTACATTTTAAAATGTACATAACTTACTTATATAAAAACAATAATATCAGTATAAATCAGTAATCACCCGAGATGCCCTAGCCCTAGATAATATTATTACCTTTAAATCTTATAGGTATAAGGTAAATTCACTTTAGAAATTACAGAGTAAAATGTATTACTGTAGATGTAAAATTAGATTTTTTTATTATTATTGCGCGTGAGGTGTCCTCTAAAGTCCTAACAATGTTGGATCGGGAAAAAATTATCAGAATTTTTGAACTAGATAAACTCAAAATTGGTGTGCAGTTGAAAAAAAGTGACACTATTATATATATAATAATATATATTATTTAATGAAAAAAAAAAGTTTTCTTGATGGAAAAGTCTCATACTCTCATATATTGATATAATATGAAGAGGGTATATACATGCTCATATAGAATCGTAAGAAATTTTTTTTTCCATAGATCTTGTTCGATTTTTTAACACATTTTATTTTGATAAGCGTACCGGGAGACTGATAACAAATATAATGAACCAAATATAATTTACAATATTCTCATTAGTCAGACTTGCAAGTTGCGATTTGTTTTTGTTATGGACGCTGTATAAAATATCCTTACATCGATTCTGGTCGAAACATTTGTTATTTCTATGCATTATAATATCAGGTTTGTTCTCAATTATAAATATTGTTAAGAAGTAATCACCCAACAAGTGTCATGGAGGCTACAGTAGAACTTGAACCATTCATGAAGACTGGTTTTAAAATTGCTCGTCGCACCAAGGACTCAAGTTCCATCAAAATATTACTGAAACATTTTGAAGACTCTATACAAGAGTTGTACGGTAGTAATCGGCGGCCGTCAAACGCTGCCAAAAAATTACCTGTTCCGACTACTCTGCTATCAAAAGATCTGGGTATTGAACAAATAGATGTAAGTTATAATTATTTCTGTGATATTATATTAACTGCTTAATAAACACTTAAAAACTTTCTAGTTAGATGACGATTCTAGCAGTTCGAGTTCCTCATCCAGTCCAATAGCAACTACATCTAAATCCATCATAGAAGTTCGCTCTTCCCCACCACCCACAATAACATTGGAACAGGCCAAATCTGATCCTGTCATAAATATTGATTCAGATTCTGATTCAGGATCAGATAAAGTAGAAGCATATTCCTGTTGTACTTGCAAGTATGTGTTAAACAACAATCATTACAACTTTGAAACATTAAATAATTTGATTTCTTTCTATTTTATTAATAAGAGAGAGTTACGTTGTAATGGGAAACAGTCTAGTAGAATGTTTGGAATGTCATTCTATGTATCATCAGAACTGCCATAATCCACCAATAATAGACATAAACCTGGATGACCCCCGAATCGTCTGGTATTGTATCAATTGTAGGCAGAAAGACTATCAGAAAACCGTGAGTATAATAAGTCACATTTGTATTTTTCTTGTTTTGTATGATTTCAATTTTTTATTATACTTTAAGGATTCACGTTCATCGGGAAAGGAAAGCAAAAAAAACTCTTCTAAAAATGCTTCTAAGGCAGAAGGATCTAAGTCCAGCAGTAAAAATGCACAAGGTTAATTTCATAAATGCTTGTAAATTATAAACAATTASATTATTTTCAGTAATTTCTCTTTTTCAGCCAAATCGAGTTCTAGTAAATCTAAATCTGCTTCTGCCAACAGCAGTCCTAAACATTACCCACCCACTTCTAGCACTATGATGTCTGTTATGGAGAAGAGAGTTCAAATGATGAAAAAGAAAGCTGCTAAAAAATCTGAGAAAAAGAAATAAAAACATAATAATCAATATTATATTTAAAAAAAAAGAAACAATATTGTACATTAATTCTTTGAGCGACAATTTTAATAAATAGCATTATTTATTTATTTTTTGATAGAGTACGTTGTTTTTCACCAAATTCTACAATTTTCTCTTCTACTGATAAACCTTTGCGTTTACGAACGGCATTCATGTAATTTAAAGCTCGATTACCAGAATCCGCTTTTTCTCCAAACAGTTCCAATTCTTCATCAGTGTTTGGTACCCAAAATGGATCAATATCAATTACCTATTGTGGAAAAATATTTATAATAACCCATTCAAATTTTAATAACAATCATCATTTAAATATTTAATACCTCCCAATGACTAAAAACTAGTTGTGGACTAGCCAAACCAGATGTCTGTTTGCGTATTTCAGCAGAAAATGAAAAACTTTCGATAACCGGTAACAAAGCAGTTATATTGAAGGTGGATGCCGAACCATGTGCCATATCAGAACTAATAACTCGACCATGACGTCTTCCCAAAACTGCATACATTTTACCTAAGTGACAATATGTCTTATAAGAACCGAATAAATTTGTTTAAATTATATATGCAAAATTCACCTAGAATTTCAGCGTTGGCTTGAATGGAACATGAGTACATGGCAGCCATTAGTCTTTGTGATTGTGCTTGGAAAGCTTTTCGACATCCGTCTTTCACAGCTGACATGATTTGTCCAGACATAGGTCCATAAGGATCACTATTTTTTAATTAATATCCGATTTTAATATATGTATATTAAATTAATAAAATTAAGAAATAAATTATTCACCACGAGATCTGTTGTGAAACATCAACTGTCCAATCTTCGACAACAAAACACACTCCCATCATTGGTTCTTCACATAGAGGACCAGCTAAAGTTGCTATTTGAAAACCATTCATAAAACTATTTTCATACTTTGTCAAATCATTCACATTTTCTTTTGGATTCCATACTGACCTTTTGTAATCTACAATAAAATATTATTTTTACACTTTAATCATTGAAAAAATTATATAATTAATGTTTAATAGTCATTTACTTGGTATTTTATTCATTAAGATATTTGGACCACATTTTCTAGGCCCAAAAGCCCAAATTTGAGACACGTCCATGATGTTTCCAAATGCTTCTTGTAATTGGGACCGAAACGTATCAATAGCAATTGTAATGTTTTTAGAAACACTATCATCAATTTTCAAACGTTCTAATGCATCTGAAATATTTTCAACTTTTTGTTCTGACAAAGCTCTTAAAATATCCGTTGATTTCTCTAGAAGATTTGTCACAGCAATTGGTAAAGGTTCTGCTCGGATTTTAATACAACACAGATGATTTGATGTATAAACATTCAAAAGACCATTTTGATTTTCTTCAGTTTCATTTTTCTATAAATGTGCAAAAGATATTTTTTAATTAATAACTAATAATTTAGGATTTAAATAAGATTTTATAATTTAACTTAAAGTTTTATTATGGAACACTTTATTATGATGTAATTAATAATTTGTTTATTACACAACTTTCAAAGGTTCGATTCTATAATTATGATAATAATTACTTGATTCTGGTTTTCTACAATTTCATGAGCCATGTCCACTTTAGGCGGCACCACAATAGTCTCTCGAAAAGGTACTATTGGAGCTGAAGCAATAACATCGATTTTAGCATACCTTATAAAAAAATAAAAACTGATTAAATAAATATTTTGTTATTAGCAATTACAAATCATAATTATTTTATAATTATTATACATATAAATAATGTATATATTTGGCTTCATGCAAATCCGTTATTTTTTTTCTATATTTCATAAATTTATCATCTGTATCTATGAGAAATATTTCCAAACGAATAAAATTAATATTTATAAATTAGGTGACACGAGGAACACAATTTAAATGGATGAGATATAAAACCCTTAAAATTTACTAACAAAAATCTTAATTAAATTTAAAATTTAAGGTTTTAAGTTATTCAGCTTTTTAATTTTACTATTACAAATTGAAATATATTATAAAGTTTGTATTGATTTTTACCTTTCACGAAGGTCATCTAAACATTTTTGAAGATGTACTTCTCCTGCAGTGACAATAACATGCTCGCCTGTTTCTTGCATTATTACCTACAACAAACAATAATATGAATTGTGTAGCATGATTTAAATGATAAAAACATTATTTAAAATCAATAAGCCAATAAGAAATTGTGTTCTTGGAAAAACTTATAATGATGGAAGTATTAAATTCTATAAATAGTATATATATTATATATTATATAACACAAAATGTTTTAATTGCCTGCACTTTTCTTTATAAGAAATTAAGTAATAAAAATATCTGCTGGCCTATAAATACAATATAACAAACACTTTTTCTTTAGAATTTAATAAAATATCTATATAATAAGTCACTATATTTTTTAAATATTTATGACTGTGAATCATGACAGAAATTACTAAATCAGAGAGTGTCAATATTGACAGAGATACTAAGATGTACTCTGACTTGTGTATTTCTCCAAATCAATATGTCTCTATTCCCGTTCAAGTAACACTACCCGACAATAATACATTGTCAACTAATTTTGCTTTGTCTGATACAATTTTGGATGTGAAACGTTTCATTTTACTAGCCTTACAACCAAAATTAGAAAATGTACAACAAATAAAATGTGTTATGCATGAGGGACAAAAAGTATATGAAGCAAGTGACTGTATAGTACTAAAACAAAAATGGAAGAACTGTCCCATTCAAATATCAGTAAGTATCATACATCATCAAGACATTGAACAGATATCACAGGAACCCAATGCTTCAGCACAGCCCATTTTACATCCCGAGTATGGAAATATACTTGATACTAATGCTACAATGCCAAAACATACAACAGGATATAGGGATAAGAATACTGGTAAACTGTACAGAAACACATTAGTACAAACAATATCTGAAGATATTGATTTTGATAGTCAGTACTATAAGAATAAAATTTCAATGTCAATTCAAACAATCCAAACTAAAGACGAAAATACTGAATCTGTAGTTGAATTTGGTACTCAAACCCAATCAATGGATATTCTTCGATCGTTAAATGTTATAAGAGAAATAAGTAATTATTATAATAAAGTAAAATCAATGTATATTTAATTTTTATCTTATCTAACAATAGCTCCTTGTCAATCTGTTATACTTCCTGAAGCAAATGGATTAAAAAAACTTGATAAATATGCTTGTATAATACAAAATTCTGTGCGATTATGGTTAACAAGGAAGAAATTTAGACGAATCTTGGAATACTATATCCACAAAAAGCAATTAACGTGTGATGAAGAGAAAAACTTGAAGAATATTATCAAGTTTGAGCAATCACAGAATAAGTTAAATCTACAATATCCTACTAAAACTAAGGATTTTGAAGCACTTTATTCTGCAATTCATGACCATTATAAAAACATTAAAAGTAATGTAAAAAATAAATCATTAAAATTTATAATAAGTGAAAATAAACAACACTTAAGAGAAGAATTAGAGTGCTTTAAAGAAATAAGCAAACAAAGGAATCAAGTTAAGGAAATAGCAAAAGATAAAAAAATATTTGGAGAACTATATAAAATATCTAAGCCAATAAAATTGACAAGAAGCAATGGAGAAACAATTGCTATTGAAACTCCAGAAACATATCAAGCCAGTAAATTTATGGAACTTTACATAGGCCTGAAGAAAAATGATTTGAGTAAAGATGAAAGAACTAAATTTCTTTTAAAATTACAAGAAACCTTAGAGCCCTTCAAAGAAACAGATCTAATAAAACCAATTATTAATTTGCTGACTAGAGAGTTAACAATGTTGAATGTTATTCAAATTGAAGACGATAAATTAAAAATTTTGAGGAAACGTATTGAAATATCTTTTCAGCGAATTCTTAAACAACCAGAAATAAACCCAGCAATCAAATCAAAAATTTCAAATCCCATAAACTTCATTAAATGTTATAATTGTAGGAAGTTAAAAGCTTTGAATAGATTTGTGATGAAATTAAATTTAAAAAAAGCAGCAACATGTAAAGATTGTAATCATTTATATAGAATTACAATAGACCAAATAATATTAACACCCCATGAAAACATATTGAAAAATATTAAGACAACTGAGGCACAACTGTGCACAAAAACTTGTTTAGCATTTTTTTTAAATGTAGAAGATATATATTACCTAGTCACAATCATATGGAAAGCAAAATCAGCTATAAGCGACTGCAACGACATAATACAATTAAGATTAGTAAGGTGGAATAAAGAACTAGAATGGTCGCCTTCAAATACAATATTATTGAGTATCGAGGAGGCTTATTTTCATTCCAAGATCCGTAACTTAAATAAAACGTATTCATCAACATTTATTGATAGTATCAATTTTAAACATATAGTTGCAAAGAAATATTTTAAAGGTTTAATAGAAAAAGCAGAGGAATGCGATCGTAATATAAAGAAACGTAGACATAACAGAAACAATTCAATATAAATATGCAAACATCTTTACAAAATTCAATAACAATTTACTCATATTATATAATATGTTTATTGTTCATAATATATTATAATTATATCAAAACAATTTTCACATTACCTGAACACATGCATCTGCTTGATTAAGTAGTTTAAGACCCCTGACAAGGTCAGGTAAATCCATTGAATGTTTGGGTTCCAAAGCTACCCTCATGATTGGTGTGGCCATAGCTTTAATTTCTGTGAATGGTGGGCAAGCTAGAGTCGTAGACAAAGTAGCACTCTTCAAGATGTATTGTTCTAAATTACCAGCACCTACAAAATATATCAGAACAATAAAATGTAATGTTTTGTGAATGATATATTTTAAATATATTTTTACCAAATATATTGCCAGCTGGAACTTCGTCTACTAGTTCTAAATCTCTACCCATTAACATGTACAAATCAGTTACGGTAGTTTTCATAACATGTTGATCGGATTTTAAAGTAGCCAAAGTGCATTTTTCGTCAACATAAAAATCCTAAAAAAAATATTAAAAAATTTGTATTTGTAACATAAAAATTAGTAACAAAACTATACATTATCTGTTATTTTAGACGGATCATGTTTAGGCCCTAAAACATACAACTCTTGACCACGACGAATTGTTCCACTGTACATTCTTCCAAATGCAATAAACATAACATCATTTTCATTTTGTGTAGGTTCTATAACTTCTGGTTTATTTTCCTCATTATTAACTATAACATTATCTTTAGTATCTGAATCKTCTGTTTTAATCATACTACTTTTTAAAGCATGCTTAATTCTTGCTAACTCTCGTCTTTTAGCTATTTCCTCAGCAGTTAATACTTTTGGTTTATTTTGAGGTAAGTACTTTCTTTTAATCTAAAATTAAATAACATAAATAATTAAAAACAATGTAATTTCAAATATATATATATAAACATATACAAACCGGAAACATTTTAGAAACAAAAGCTACAACTGGGGCGGAAGCATCATCAGAAGAACATTTTGAAAAATCAGTTTTCAATGCTATGGTTTCTTTAGGCATAAGGTTAAATTCTTTCATTGGAGGACAGAGTAAGTTTTCAATTTTTACATCAGTAAGTTGATTTGGTGGCGGACATTTATCAACTACCATACCTAAGGAGAATTCAAGATTCAATTAAATTAACCAGTTAAAAACAAATATAATTCAAATAAGAAATACAAATACAAATTAAAAATCAATGGATTAGTCTAACAGATTTAACCAGAAAAATCAATAGCTGTAACCAAATATAACTAGGGCCAGAAAATTTATGAATTTGCATATTTTACTAAGTACATCAAAAAGTTGCTGGATAAGCTACGAATTTGAATTACAACCTAACGGCTTAAGTTGTATTTAGTTGTATTTCTTTGGTGCAAATATAACATATTTCATATAAATTAAATGCATTTCCTTCATTAAATTGTTATTTCTAGCAAAATCTCAATAAACAACTTAACTTAACATAAAAATTTAATACTTATTTTAATAATTTTTAATACAAAAACTACTGAACCTTAATTATAACTATGGTCTATTCCAAATAAGTATGAGTGTATGGCCACTTGATCRATAAAAACTGGTCACCGTTGAGCAACCCCTCCCAAAAGTGGCGAACAATCATAGAGCACTAGCACCGATCTTGGAGGTCTAAAAGTTTTGGGGGCTTAGTATGCATGCGAGAAAGTGGTCATTCTTATTTGGAATAGGCTAAAATATTTTATATTTTTTTGTAAACAAACTTTGTTGTAAAAAATATAGAAATTTAAATTGACAATTTTATGATAAAATAATATAATATAATTTTGGTACAAATTAAATATCATGTTTATCACTACAGTTATATCTTTCACAAATCAAAATATATTTACCTAATACTGATAGAGATAAAGGAATCCATTGAGATAGAAAAGATTGCAATAAAATTCTTGTATCTGTTTGACGCAAATCTCTAGCAAAAAGTGTCACATTCATACTTTCTGCGATTTTTAATAAACGTTCTTTGTCCTAGAAAATAAATTATATTTATTACCTTGTTTTAAAACACAGCTTAATATTTACATCAACTATATGATTTTAAAATTAAATAATTTACTTTTTGATTAATAATGACATCATATATAAGCCAAATGTTTTCAAGTATCATTTGAACAAAAATTGGTTTCTTGGCTTTTTCTTGAGCACCTTTCATGATTCTTTTGGTCTTGGTATGTAAATAAAAATCTCCCCATAATGTCTTTTTTAAGACATCTACGTTCACACCAAGTTTGTTTGACACTAAATTTGCAAATGCTTCTATACTAAAACCACTTAAGTAAGTATAATTTTGAACAGTAGTGAAGAGTAAATATTAAAATAAAATTGTTTAATTAACAAACTATAAAAACACATAGCTATTATAATTCAAAAAGTATTGTATTACATTTTTAGTTTTATAAAATTGTTATTATATTTTATTCGTTATAATGACAGCACATTGTTTATCTTAAAAGTATTGCTTGTTGTGCTTCTATTGATTTAAGAAATATTTCAAATTATTTTCCCAAAGTCATATTGATTTCTTATTGATTTTAAACTCTTTTATACACATTGGTAATATTAATATAGGAAAATAATATACCTGAATGCCCAACCATCAGCAGCGGATGCAAAAACTACATTTCCTTGCTGCGGTGAAAAATATAAATCTGAATCATCAGCAGCCTCAATAGCAGTGCTCCACTGATTATACAAATCTTCACCTGACTGAACGCCAACTTGCTCTTTAGTTTCAGCTTCTTTTTCAAATAAATCTTTTTTAAATAGTTCTCCCACTACGGCATTAATCTAAATATTATAAAACTAACAATTAAAGAACATTTAATCAAATTAAGTCAACACTTACTTGTTCAAGCACTTGAGTTAAATGAATATAGGCATCAAGTGGTGTCATATTCAACTCCAATATCAGCCTATCAATCTTATTTAATACCAAAATAGGTTTGATATTTTCTGACCAAATCTGTTTTAAACAAGCCTACAACCAAAAATTGCAAGCACATAATATCATTCAAACTGGTAATTTAGTTTTTAATTAATGCTGTAAATCAAAAAAGGTGTATTTAGAATATTAATTTACCTGTGTTTGAGGACAAACACCTTCTACGACATCAACAATAATAATAGCTCCATCACATAATCTTAAAGCAGTAGAAACTTCAGAAAAAAAATCTACGTGGCCAGGACAATCAATTACATTGATAAGATATTCTAATTCATCTGAAATGATATTCATACGCTTTAATACAACATTGTAATTCATTTAATAATTAATAAATTTTACTTTTGCAATGATACAATGCTATTGATGAACTTTTCATTGTTATTCCACGTTGTTGTTCGTCTCGTCTACTGTCCATGTATCTCAACTTTCCAACCATCTTCTGAGATATAACACCGTTACTGGCGACCAGAGAGTCTGCCAGTGTTGTTTTACCATGATCAACATGAGCCATAATACAAATATTACGTATTGAACTTGGATTATGTTGAAGTTCAATCAGTTTATTTTGAGCAGTGTCCCTCATCTTTTTTTTATTTTTATCAAATGTAAAAATGTAAATTAAATGTAATATTTGAATGAGTTGAAAAACAATCTTATACTTCACATAAATAAATGTGATAGGTGA